GGCCAGGAGAGATTTCATACAATTAAGACTTATGCCCATTATGGGAAGTCAGACTTGGCCACAGTGGTCCACGCTCTTGTTACACTGAGAACAGATTACTGCAACATACTCTGTATTGGGATGCCTTTGAACACTGTTCAGAAGCTTCAAATGGTCCAACGAGCGGCAGCCAGATTGCTAACTGGACAGCATACAGGAAGCACACAACTCCCCTGTTACATCAGCTCCACCATTTTGCTACAGAGCACAATTCAAAGTGCTGACCTATAAAGCCCTAAATGATTCTGGCCCAGCATACCTGTCCAAATGTATCTCCCTCTATGAACTATCTTGGAGGTTAAGGTCTTCTGGGGAGGCCCTGCTCTTGGTCTTGTCTGCATCACAAGTGCGGGTAGTTGGAATGAGAGACAGAGCCTTCTCAGTGGTGACTCCTTAGCTCTGGACCTCTCTCCCCAGTGAGATTAGATCAGCGCCCTCCCTCCTGGCCTTCAGACGTGGTTGTGGGACCAGACTTTTGGCCAGCAATGCAATGCAAAGAATAACCAGGAAATATGTGCTATGACAATTGGAATGGCCATGGTGGAAAATTTTAGATTTTAATATTTATATTAGGATGTTTTTAATGCTTTGTCTTTGTGTTTACATGTTGTATATGTCTATGTTTAATGGATTTAATGATTTTAATTTATAGTTAAATGTCAGCTGTAACTGACCGTTAGATTGAACTCAGCACCCTATAATGTGCTCTTTGCTCAAGCCCATGCCCAGCCCTTCCCAGTTTCTAATCTTGTCCACCATATTCCTGGTTCTGGTTATTGAGGTTGGCTTGTTTCATTTTAATGATGTTTTTGATATTCTGCTGTTTTTAATTGTTTAATTAGATTGCTATATGTTCATTATGTTTTTAAATGTGTTTTTTAGTTGGCAAACTCTGTTGTTACTGGGCTTGGTCCCACTTGTAAGCTGCCCTGAATACCTTCAGGGAGATGGTAGCAGGATATAAAAATAAAGTTGTTGTTGTTGTTGTTGTTGTCTTTCGTTATTTTGATTTGATTTTATTATATGTATGTTGGAATTGAATTCTTGCCATTAATATGTTGTAAACTGCCTTGAATCCCCCCAGGGGTGAGAAAGGCAATATATAATTATAATAAATAAATAAATACCTTCAGACAATCTAAATACTGTTTCATGCATCCCTTTTACCTTTGTCTATACAAACACAGATACACACTTTAAATATTTGTTTTGTGGTTGGAACATGGTAGTGATATAAACAGAAAGAGGATTATATATAAGAACTTTAAAAGCTAGTGTATTTTATCATCTCAGTTGAATATCTCCATAATGTACACATCTGCTCTTAGGACAAAACAGAGGTTACTCCAACATCCCCTTTTACTAAAAAATTATAAAATGCAAGATATAAAGTAGAATTTTAGAAGAGAGACACAGGGAATTCTCCTCGCAGCTTACCTCCCCATTTTCTCTCTAGCGTAATGTTGATACATGATTCTATGTAAATCGGAGAGGAATACACAGAATAAACTTCAGGGAAGTAAAGAAGAAGACTTGAACACCAGTGGCCCCTACATTGCTCTTAAAATCAGATCTCCACAGTTTAACAGCAGACCTCTCAACTTCCAACAAACCTTAGCTCCAGCTCTCATTCAAAACCAGAAAGAAAGTTACTATATTGCTTTATTACAAATACGCAATGTTCCAAATACAACTCACATCAATGTTGCATTACAAATTAGGACAGAGGTTACATGTAATCACTTTTTAACTGGCCTTTCTATTCAAATTAATAAAGCTGTTTGAAGAAGTAATAAATACAGCAAGTATAAACAAAATTGGTTTGACATTTTAGATCATTCCTCAGTCTACCGGATACCGAGTGATACATAGTGTTTCCATTGCCAACAACTCATAGTTGATTTTGTGCTTAGTAAGAATTAAGGATATTTAAGATACACTACTGTCACAAAGTCCTTCTTTGGGGCTGTGGCACAGCTAGTTAGTAGCCAGTTGCATGAAATCACTACTGACTGAGAGATCATGAGTTCGAAGCCAGCCCGGGTCAGAGTGAGCTCCCGACCATTAATAGTCTAGCTTGCTGTTGAACTATGCAGCCCGAAAGACAGTTGCACCTGTCAAGTAGGAAATTTAGATACTACTTTATGTGGGGAAGCTAATTTAGCTAATTTACGACACCATAAAAACCTTCCAGCAGTGTGCATAAGAATGAGGAAGTACTCCATCAAGGACTTGGTGTCACAAGTGGACGGTGAAGCGGCAGCTCCCCCTGTGGCCAGAATCAAGCATACCCTCATGAAGCCAGAAAGCTGGAATATTAGATTGCCTGTGTCTATCTATATATGTTGTATGTCTGATGGCATTGAACGTTTGCCATCCATATGTGCATTGCAATCTGTGTTGAGTCTCCTGTGCATTGAGAAGGGTGGGATATAAATACTGTAAATGAATAAATAAATAATTCTGGAGTGGCAGGCAAACTAAACCCAATTGATGCTCTAAGAAAGCTTCTGTCAGTGTTAGTCTCCCTGCCCTGGCAAAGGAAGGCTTTGTGATGATACCTTAAAGTGCAACAGAATTATGCCATTGTTGTTCTCAAATATGCACATGCCACAATAAATCTGTTCATTTTTAAATGCCATAGGATACTGTTTTTTTTAAAAAAAGATCAGAAATACAAAACCATCTTATAAAGTCTTGGCACTGCAAATATCTCACTTCCACCAAATTGCAGTACTATAGAGGAGACATGGAGACAAGTAGTGTTTCTCTGTCAGTGATATACATAACATAGGTATGTAACATACTTCTGATGAGACAAAGAAATAGAAAGTACTTCCAATTGTTTCTGACCATAGGGCAAAGTTATCAAGGGGTTTTCTTGGCAAGAATTGCTCAGAGGACATTGGTATTGCCTTCCTCTGAGGTTGAAGTCACAGTGGGAGTTTCCATGGATGAGTAGGGATTCAAACCCTGGTCTTGGTCCAGCACTCAAACTCACACACTGTTCTAATAACACTACTGCAATCTTTAATCTACATTCTGTTTTACAGTAACCATAACAATAAAAGTTGTTCCCAATAGTATTATTACAATTTTCCACTACTAACAGAGGTAATTTTTTGTGTGTCTACTTCCAACAATACTATGGTATGTTTATGCCCTTAAACAGTAAAATGAATAACAAATATAATAGCAGATTGCCTGTAAACAAAACACATAAATGTCATTGGAAAGAAGGGAAGGGATGTGGCCCTTTTACTTTTAACCCTGGTAAGACTTGAGTTCTCCAACAAGGTGGCCGCTGAGATGGGAGTCAAGGTGGCACAGTGGCTGAACTGCTGACCTGAAGGTCGGCGGTTTGAATCTGTGGGATGTGGTGAGTTCCTGTCTGTCAGCTCCAGCTCTACTTATGGGGACATGAGAGAAGCCTCCCACATGATGGCAAAACATCACACAGGATGGTCAAAACATTTATACATGGCCATCATGTCTCCTCTCAGCCATCTCTTCTGTAGCTCTTTAAGCCACTCCTCATAAGGTTTGTTCTCTAGCCCCTTGATGATTTTAGTCACCCTTCTCTGGACACATTCTAGCTTGTCAACTCCCTTCAATTGTGGTGCCCAGAATTGGACACAATATTCCAGATGTGGTCTGACCAAGGCAGAGGAGAGGGGTAGAATGACTTCCCTGGATCTGGACAGGCCAAAAACCCATTGGCTTTTTTAGCCACCACATAACATTGTTGGCTCATGTTCACCTTCCTTCCCAGGAGGACTCCAAGATCTTTTTCACAGGTACTGCTGTCGAGACAGACATTCCCCATTCTGTATCTTTGAATTTCATTTTTTTCTTCCTAAGTGGATTATCTTGCATTTGTTTCCATTGAACTTCATTTTGTTAGTTTTGGCCAATCATCTCTCTAATCTGTTAAGATTGTTTTGAATTCTGCTCCTGTCTTCTGGAATACTGGCTATCCCTCTCAATTTGGGGTCTTCTATAAACTTGATAATCATGGCTTCTAATCCTTCATCTAAATCAGTGGTTCTTAACCTGTGAGCTGCAGATCACCAATAGGCCACAAGGACAAAAATCTGGTTTGCGAACCTCCTTCCTCTTTATTTTATTTTATTCATTTTATTTCCGCTCCCTTTGAGCCGCCTGCCACTTCTTCCCTGTCACTGACCAGCCCCATCCCCTTGGATAGACCACATCAGCTCTAGATCATTAAATATGGTTTCCTGTGGGTGAGCAGATGGTGATTACTGGATGGCATATGTTCTGTATCAGAAACTAGAGCTGATGTGGTCTATCCAATGCAATTTTCTGAATCAGCAATCCCTAATAACCAAACTCAATCTCAAGCAGACCAAAAATTGATTTGTAACCCATTTGGTACTAATGTTGGAGAGTGGTCCCTGATCAAAGGGGTCCCTGGTCAAGGGGTCCCTGGTCAAGGGGTCTCTGGTCAAAGGGGTCCCTGGTCAAGTGGTTCCTGGTCAAAGGGGTCCCTGGTCAAAGGGGTTCCTGGTCAAGTGGTCCCTGGTCAAAGGGGTTCCTGGTCAAAGGGGTTCCTGGTCAAGTGGTCCCTGGTCAAAGGGGTTCCTGGTCAAAGGGGTTCCTGGTCAAGTGATCCCTGGTCAAGTGGTCCCTGGTCAAAGGGGTTCCTGGTCAAAGGGGTTCCTGGTCAAGTGGTCCCTGTCAAAAATAGGTTAGGAACCACTGCTCTAATCTTTCAGATCGTTTTGAATTCTGCTCCTGTCTTCTGGTGTATTAGATATCCCTCCCAATAATTAGGTGTCCTCTGCAAATTTGATGATCATGCCTTCTAACCCCCCATCTATGTCATCAATAAAGATGTTGAAGATCTTGTTGCCTTTGGAGAAGGGGTTCCCAATCAAAAACTTCGGTCGAGGTGCCAACATCCTCCGCTGAGAGGCTGTGGCTAGGCGTGGGCTCCTTCAGAAGGAGGCAGAGACCCCCTCTGTGGTGGGGATCAGCCCCGGGTTTGCTGCGAAGTGGTGGGAGAAGGAGGGCTTCCTGGGGGGCGAGAAGAGGCGTGAAGGGCGAGGTAACAGAGCTGGGCATTGGCTCCATAGGGCATCCAGCGAGGAGGAGGAGGAGGAGGGGGAGGAGGAGAAGATGGGAGGGAGCAGCGCCCCGAAGGGGACCAAAGCGGGGGTCGTTTGGTTGCCGGCCAGGATGCTCTCGATGCTGAAAGAAGAGGAAGGAAGAGAAGAAGGGAAGGAGAAGGAGTTGGTGCTTCTGCCGTGGCGCAAAGCCACCTCGACCTTTTCTTCACGCCGTGCTGCAACTGACACCTGCCACTTTTCCTCTTGCAAGGAAGTCGAGGAAGAACAAGAGGAAGGGCCAGAGGATGCACTCCTGCTCCTGCGCAAGCCCGGCTCTGCCTTGTCTTCGCCCAACTCGTGCGGCTTGTCCTTTGGCCAGCAGGAAGGCGCCAGTGCCTGGAGGGGCTGGAGGGCGGCCGGGAGGAGCAGGAGCCCGGCGGGGCTTCCCGGGGGGCGGCTCGGGTCCGTCCTGGGGGCGCCCTTGAACCTCCTCCTCCTCCGGAGGAAGCTGCCGTGGAGGAACATGTCCCGGGCGCCCGGGTGGAGGCTCCACTCGCCGCCCTTGCCGGGCCTGCCGGGCTCCCGGGGCCCCTTGACGAAGCAGTCGTTGAGCGAGAGGTTGTGCCGGATGGCGTTCTGCCAGGCCGGGAAGCGGGCGCCGTAGTAGGCGAAGCGGGCGCGGATGAAGGCGCAGATCCCGCTCAGGGGAAGCCTCTGCCGCGGGCTCTGCAGGATGGCCATGGTGATCAGGGCGATGTAGGAGAAGGGCGGCTTGGGCAAGGCCAGCCCGGCACCCTCCGCCGGCCTCTCTTCTTCCTCCGGAGCAGGGGGCCCTCCTGGCTTGCCTTCCTCTCCTGAAACACCCTCTTCTTCCTCCGCTTCCTCCTCCTCTTCCTCCCCGTCGGAGCCCCGACGGGCTTGGCGCTCGCTCGAGAGGCTCATCGAGGCGCACAGAAAGGACGGACGGACGGACAGCAAGAGGAGAGCTAGGAAGAGGCCGTGGAGAAATGCCCCCCAAAGCCCACTTTTCGCCCCGTCTTTTATTACCTTTGCGCACCCCTTTAAGAGCAAGGGGTGGGGGGTGGGATGGGGATCGCCTTTTCCTGCTGCCCATTGGCTGCAACCTTACTGAGAAAGCCACCTTTTCCTCCTCCTCCTCCTCCTCCTCCTCCTCTTTCTCTGAAGATACCATAGAAGTCAACAAACAACTTTTTAATCTATTTCTCTATTTTTCTCTATTATTTTTATCATATATATATATATTCCTCTCTTTCTTTTTCCTCTCCCTTTTCCTTCTTCCTTTCTATTATTATTATTATTATTATTATTTCTCCATATTATTGTTATTTCTCTTTTCCCTTTTTTCTTTTCTTTTAACAAAATTCTTAGACAATACATTTCTATCTATCTATCTATATAAAATGCTCTGTGCATAATGAGTGCCTTAAAAACAAAAGAACAAAAGACCGAAATCACATCAAATTTGGCAGCAAAACGTCTCACAACACAAGGAGTGACCATCACTCAAAAATTATGATTTTGTCATTTGGGAGTTGTAGTTGCTGGGATTTATAGTTCACCTACAATCAAGGAGCATTCTGAACCCCACCAATGACAGAATTGGGGCAAAATTCCCACACAGAACCCCCATGACTAACAGAAAATACAATACTGTGTTTTCTGGTGGTCTTTGACGGCCCTTCTGACACCACCTTGCAACCCCCCCAGGGGTCCCAAACTCCAGGTTGAGAAATGCTTCCTTAAGGCCATCCAGTCCAACTCCCTTCACCAGGGCAAGAAAACATAATCAAAGCCCTCCTGACAAAGGGCCATCCAGCCATTCACACACACACATATATGTATATGACAGATGCAGTATCAAAGATTTGAAAGGGACCCCTAAAGAAGGGCAATGATATGTTGCATGTTCCAGAGGAGGCAAACCAGACACTCTCCACATCAACACTGGCAAAGAAACAGCAAGAAATACTGTTGACCCAAAAGCATAAAGAAATTACATATATTAGGAACCAACACTTTCTCATTACTTTATTTTCCAAATCACCAGACTGGGCCACAGCAACACGTGGCAGGGGACCGCTAATATATATACATACACACACACACACACACACACACACACACACACACACACACATATATATAGAGAGAGAGAGAGAGAGAGAAATGTATTGTCGAAGGCTTTCAGCCTCCTGCCAAGAAGCAGGAAAATCGAATTCAAAGCATCTCCGACAAATGGCCATCCAGCCTCTGTTTAAAAGCCTTCCAAGAATGAGCCTCCACCACACTCTGGGGCAGAGAGTTCCACTACTGAACATCTCTCACAGTCAGGAAGTTCTTCCTAATGTTCAGGTGGAATCTCCTTTCCTGTAGTTTGAAGCCATTGTTCCGCCTCCTAGTCTCCAGGGAAGCAGAAAACAAGCTTGCTCCCTCCTCCCTAGGACTTCCTCTCACATATTTATACATGGCCTTAATCATGTCTCCTCTCAGCCTTCTCTTCTTCAGGCTAAACATGCCCAGCTCTTTTAGCCGCTCCTCATAGGGCTTGTTCTCCAGACCCTTGATCATTTTAGTCGCCCTCCTCTGGACACATTCCAGCTTGTCAATATCTCTTTCCAATTGTGTTGCCCAGAATTGGACACAGTATTCCAGGTGTGGTCTAACCAAGGCAATGTTTTCCTAGTTTCCAACAGACCTCACCACCTCTGAGGATGCCTGCCATAGATGCAGGCGAAACGTCAGGAGAGAATGCTCCTGGAATACGGCCATACAGCCCGGAAAACTCACAACCCAACTTTAGGAAAGATTGGGACTTGTTCATCACCTTAACGACGGGAGCTGAGTCAGCTATGGAATGGATGAGTGTTATTCCAAGTAGAAGCCGTGCTTATCTAAGGCAGGCCTGGGCAAACTTGGGCCCTCCCTCCAGGTGTTTTGGACTTCAATTCCTGCAATTCCTAGCAGTCGGTAGGAATTATGGGGTTTGTAGTTTAGTGAGGCTGTTAAAGGCTCCTTCCTAAACTAAAAACCCCAGAATTCTGCAGGAGGCAGACACCGGATTTAAAGTGAATTCATTCTCGAGTGTGATGAGGAGGTTGGCTGCCTGGTGCAGATTCAACTATGTCACAGTGTATCAAAAGAAGGAATTGTGGGAGTTGAAGTCCAAGACACTTGGAGGGAGGGCCGAAGTTTGTCCATGCCTGATCTTAGGGACAACAACACGCAATGAGTGTGATGTTCATAGAATAGTTTTAGTACATCGCACTAGAGAATAGTTTTGGAACCCCCGGTGGCGCAATGGGTTAAGGAGGGTCAAATATCCATGCGTCTCCTGGGCAACGTCATTGAAGACGGCCAATTCTCTCACACCAGAAGCGACTTGCAGTTTCTCAAGTCGCTCCTGACACGAAAAAAAGTAGTTGTGTGTCTCCTACGTGTCTCTTAGGGTAGTTTTGCCTTAGGTTGGTGTGTTTTATGTTTAATTTTGTCGGGTATAGTGCTTTTGTTATGAAAATTTTCTTCTTTTTTCGTTTTTCTATATTTTTCTTCCTTATTTCGGAATGATTTAACTTAATTCATCCAAAAATGCACACCTGTTTCACAAAGTCGTCGCTTGAGATTGGAGGGTCAGACCGAATTAGTTTTTTTTTCCCATTTCGGAAACGGGGCTCCTTCGAAGAGGGGAGGCTCGTGTTTCTTCAAAACAAGCAAACGCAACACTTCTTTATGTTGCTTTTTATTTATTTATTGGAGTCCCCGGTGGCGCAATGGGTTAAAGACTTGTGCCAGCAGACAGATCGGAGGTTCGAATCTGGGAGAGCGGGTTGAGCTCCCTCTGTCAGCTTCCAGCTCCCCATGCAGGGACATGAGAGAAGCCTCCCACAAGGATGGTGAAACCTCAAAACATCTTGGCATCCCCTGTCTAACAGCCGGTAAGCTGTTAGGAATTGTGGGAGTTGAAGTCCAAGACACCTGGAGGGAGGGCAATGGGTTAAGGATGGTAAAACATCTGGCGTCCCCTGGGTAACGTCCTTGCAGGCTGCCAGTTCTCTCACACCAGAAGCGACTTTCAGTTTTTCAAGTCACTCCGGACACTATCTATCTATTTACTGTCTTTTTATTCTGCCTGTCGAACTGTCTTAATTCTGACTCAAATGCAAACTCGCCAGCACTGTAATCATTGCCAGGTCATGTGCTTTTTTATCCAGTAGATTAAAAAACATTCAAGGAAGGCTTTGACTTGGTGTCTCTTCATAATTTAGGGAAAGCCACATCAAACGAAATTAAACCGATTTGAAAGCAATATATTTTGTGGGAAAGTATATGTGGAATGTAAATAAAGTTGTTATTATTATTATTATTATTATTATTATTATTATTATTATTATTACTATTACTATTATTATTATTTGAAACACAACAAGATGAGTCCACAGCAGACACTCTGCTGGCTGTTGTATTGGATCACGCGTTGGACACTTCCCAAGTGTCTAGGACTGTGTGATGTATCAGCAAATAATGCGTGCAGATCCCAGTAAGGTGGCCTTCTGCAGCTGGCAGATGGTTATTATTATTATTATTATTATTATTATTATTATTATTATTATTATTATTATTACTATTATTAGAAACACAACAAGATGAGTCCACAGCAAACAAGATCACTCTGCTGGCTGTTGTATTGGATCACTTGGACACTTCCCAAGTGTCTAGGGCTGTGTGATGTATCAGTGAATAATCTGTGCAGATCATAGTAAGGTGGCCTTTTGCAACTGGCAGATGGTAATTTTGTCAGCACCAATTGTTTTTAAGTGCAGGCCAAGGTCTATAGGCACTGCACCCAGTGTGCCAATCACCACTGGGACTACCTTTACTGGCTTGTGCCAGAGTCTTTGCAGATTGATCTTTAAATACTCATATCATGTCAGCTTTTCCAGTTGTTTCTCTTCAATATCAAGGATCCACACTCTGTTTTTTTAACAGGATTGTGAGGTCAGGAGTATTGTGCTCCAAAATTCTGTCAGTCTCAATTCGGAAGTCCGAGCATAGTTTGACGTGTTCATTTTCTGTAACTTTTTCAGGCTTGTGGTCCCACTAGTTTTTTGTCGCAGGCAGATGGTATTTGTGGCACATGTTTCAATAAATCATCTGAGCAATGGTGTTATGCCTCAGCTTGTAGTCTGTCTGCGCAATCTTCTTGCAGCAGCTGAGGATGTGATCCATTGTTTCATCTGCTTCCTTGCAGAGTCTACATTTGGGATCCGTCCTCAACTTTTCAGTTACGGCTTTGATGGCATTTGTTCTAATGGCTTGTTCTTGGGCTGCCAGAATCAGGCCCTCCGTCTCCTTTTTCAAAGTTCCATTTGTGAGCCACATCCATTTATTAATTATTGTTATTATTATTATTATTTGTTTAAATAAGGTGTTGAAAATTGGAAAAGGAGATTATTTCACAAGAAATGTAAATGTTGTAGGAAAAGGATATTATACGTATCGTTAACACATTAAATGAAAAGCAGTCCCCTTCTCTTGAGACGTGTGGTTCTCACGTGCCTTCAAGACCTTTTTGATTTCTCTGCCCTGCGCATGTCTTGACAAGATTTATTAAGAGGGGTTTTGAATCCTTTCCTTTGAGGCTTAGAGAGTGTGACCTGTCCAAGGGCTCCCATTGGGTTTTTATTGAGTACGATTTCAACCCTGGCCTCCTCCTGATCTAGAGTAACTTTTCATACATGCACCATAGACTTGTAGCAGTTTGGCACCACTCAGGCCCGTAGCCAGGATTTCATTTCGGGGGGGGGGGGGCTGAATTTTTTCAGGGGGGTTTCAGGGGGGGCTGAGTTTTGGGGGGGGGGTGAGTCTGAGTGAAAGAGGGTCTAGCCTAGCAAACCTTTTGTATCATTACCCCAATACCCCCATGC